GCGTTAGCTACCCAAGTGGATCCTTCCCTTCTTCACAAACGTTTGGGACATCCATCCACTCAAGTTTTGTCATCTCTTATTCCTTCTGCTAGTAGCTCTAAACTTAAGTTGTTACAAACTTGTGAAATTTGTTTCCAATCTAAACAAGTTCGTAGTTCTTTTCCTCTCAGTTCCAATAAAGCAACAAGTGTTTTTGATTTGATTCATTGTGATTTATGGGGACCTTATACCCCGTGTTTGGCTACTGGTGCACACTACTTTCTTACCATAGTGGATGATCACTCTCGTGCTGTTTGGGCTTATTTGATTATTGATAAATCGGAAGTGTCTAGCTGTTTGAAACATTTCTTTGCCATGATTAAGACCCAATTCCATAAAACAATTAAAATTGTCCGTTCTGATAATGGCACAGAATTTGTCAATCAAGACCTCCAATCTTATTACACAACTTTGCGTGTCGTGGTTCAAACCTCTTGTGTTGGTACTCCTCAACAAAACGGTCGGGTGGAACGTAAACATAGACATATTTTAAATGTTGCCCGATCTCTTATGTTTCAAGCCCAGTTACCTATTGAATTTTGGGGGGAATGTGTACGTACTGCAGTATATTTGATTAATCGTACCCCCAACAAAATGCTTGGTGGCAACTCCCCTTTTGAAGTTCTTAACCATAAAGCCCCTGATCTTAGTCATCTCAGAATTTTCGGGTGTTTATGTTTTGTTCGCATTAAAACCACTAACAAATTTCATCCTCGTAGCACCAAGTGTATGTTTGTTGGTACCCCTCTGGCACTAAAGGCTGGCTTGTGTATGATCTTGATAACCATCGTTTCTTTCACACTCGGGATATTGCTTTTGACGAAAGCACCTTCCCGTTTGCCACCCATCACACGTCGACCGAACCCCCTACCCCCATCCCATACGCCGATTTTCCCGAAATGCCCCAGCCCGCGTCATCCCTGGTCACTCCCGTCGGTCCACTGCCGGCGTCTGTTCCTGTCGAGCAGCCCGACCAGCCGATCCCAGGGGACGCACAGCCTTCCGATTCCAACCCAAGCCCTTCCGATACAGCCGCCGTTCCTTCTCTTCGTCCGCAACGGCAGCGTTGTCAGCCCTCCCACCTTAGTGATTACATCGTCAATTCTGTTCAATCTCACGCTCCGATGTGTTCGCCGCCTCCCCGGTCCTCTTCTTCAAGTACACATTATCCTATTGCCAACTTTGTTTGTTATCATAAATTACATGACAGGTATCGTGGTTTTCTTGGCGCCATCAGTTCGCACTTTGTTCCCAAAAATTATGCTGAGGCTGTTCCTCATGCAAACTGGCGGGCGGCTATGCAAACGGAGCTATTGGCGTTACAGAACAATCAGACTTGGGATATCACTACTTTACCACCTGATCGGACAGCTTTGGGGTGCCAATGGGTCTTTAAGACCAAATTCAACTCCGATGGCACTAAAGAACGGGACAAAGCACGACTGGTTGTCCTTGGCAACCATCAGACTTTGGGGGTTGATTACACAGATACTTTTGCTCCAATGGCAAAAATGGGTTCGGTTCGAGTTTTGCTCTCTGTTGCCGCGGCACGAGGGTGGCATGTGCATCAGCTTGATGTTAACAACGCTTTTCTTCATGGTGATCTGATTGACGAGTTTTATATGCGTTTGCTACCTGGTTATGCACATCTTTATCCGGGAAAAGTGTGTCGTCTGCGGAAGTCTTTATATGGACTGCGTCAATCACCCCGCAATTGGTTCGGGAAACTTACCTATGCTCTCAGGCGCTATGGCTTCCGCCAGGCTCATGCGGATCATACTCTTTTTATTCATCGTTGTGGACCGGATATTTTGGTTGTTCTAGTCTATGTTGATGACATTTTGGTTGCAGGTAACAATTCCACCCTTTGTGCTTCGTTCAAAGCTTATCTGCATCGATGTTTCAATCTTAAAGATTTGGGGCCCTTGTCATATTTTTTGGGTATTGAGTGTGCCCGATCTGCGACGGGTATCGTTCTCTGTCAACGCAAGTATGCTCTAGACATCCTCAATGAAGCGGGTCTCTTGGGATGTAAACCGGCCGATACTCCTATCACCCCAAATCACGGGTTGAGCCGTTCTACCAGTGCCGAGCTGCGTGACCCAGCTCAGTACCGCCGGCTTGTGGGTCGCTTGATATATCTGACAATTACCATGCCAGATCTTTCTTACTCGGTGCATGTCTTGTCCCAGTTTATGCATGACCCACGGCTCGACCACATGGACGCCGCCCGACGTGTTCTTCGTTATCTAAAGGGTCATCCGGGACAGGGGATTCTTCTACGCAGTGATAGTTCTCTTCAGTTATCTGCATATTGTGACTCTGATTGGGCGTCTTGTCCACTTACCCGACGTTCTGTAAGTGGCTATTTTATTCTCCTCGGTGGTTCTCCGGTCTCCTGGAAAACTAAGAAGCAAAC